ACAAAATATTATCTACCAAAAATAAAAATGGTCATCAGATACCTAAAATAAAATCGCTCACTTTATACCAAAACTAGATTCATTAATTTTGTCAACTTTATCCCATAAATTGATAAATTAATTTAGAGACGAGATTTTTAAAATCTCTCAAAAAGGATTAATGAGTTTAGTAATTTAAAATTTTTTGATGGGATTTTAATTTTTATTTTAAGTAAATACAAATTTATATATATATATATATATATAGATATAAATAGATAGATAGATAGATAAATATATGTATACATTTAAATAATTTTAAATTAGTTATCTAATTCATTTGACTCGATGGAGAGCCTAAAAATGGTCAATTACCTGGCCGGTTTGTAAACATTACCCGACGGAAAACGGGAAAAGTAGACGCCTTTTCTAATTTTTCTATCCTCTTCAGATCAAATCTTGCATCAATTTCAACGGTTTTTCTTTCTCTGTGGGCTATATAGATTGCAATCTGATGTTATCTGTTGTCCGTTGCCCATTTCAGGGAAATCCGCATTTCTATATTTCTAGGTTTTATGTTTTTCAGCTAAATAAACACTTTTCATTTTACCATAATCTTCTTACTGTTATTTGTTCTTGATTTCGGGTCTCCGCATTTATGAATCACGCTCTTTGCTAATTCCGACCCCACAAATATCACGCGTTGCTATTGGTAAAACATGGCGTTGACTTCTCTGGCTTTGTGAGGACACGCATTTATTCCTGAAGGTTTCAGTTTCAGAACCTGGAATTTAATCGTTTAGGGTTGGAACTTGGAAGTTTTTTATTTGGTCAGATGGGTATGAAAGATCCTGGCTTTTTTATTTTGTTAGAGTGATTTTGTGAATATTGTGTTTTTGGTATAGATAGATTTTTGGTATCTTAGAGATTTGGTGTATATTGGTTTAGGGCTTCTTTGTATCTTTATATATTCGCCTTTTGGGAAACGAATTGGTGTTCACATATTCGGCTCTTGTCTTTAGATTTTGTCAATGGATATGAATCATAAATGTCTGAAAGCCGATGCGAGTAATAATGGTGGGAGCAGTTTTGAATCCCCAAATCTTGTCACGATTGAGAATGATGTAGATGACGAGTCACAGGGATTGTTGGCTGCCGAAGATGGTAATTTGTCGAACAATTTGGGAAAACCAAAGAGGAAAGTTCAATGGTTAGATAGCAGTGGAGACAAACTTGAGCAAGTCATGGAGTTTCAACCGAGGTAATTCATAAATATAGTTTTTGTTCTCCTATTCAAATTTAGAATGTCCATATATAATGTGCTTAGACTCAAGAATTATGATCATTTCTTGGATAAAGAAAGCGGATTAAAACGATAAGTGATGATTTGTGCACTGCTTGTGAGAAACTTTTTGTCTTATTAATATATATTTGTATTTTTTCATTTTATTTTTGGAGCTTTTTAGCTTGGGGCACATTCAAGTTACGTTACATATTTGGTTAACGGTAGATTTTGTGCGGAGTTACAGGGTATAAGCTTGTTGTTTTTTGTTGATTAGCATGCATTACATTGGTAACTAAACTTAAGATCTTGGAGTCTGATGAATTTATGATCCGGTTAAGGTTGTGTAAAATGAAAGTCTCCTACATCCTAAAAGATCTCAGCTTGCTGCAGTTCGTGTTCTTTGTTTTGCTTTAGATTCGCGTAACCTTATTCATAAACTCTTTTGGATGATAGCTGGTGGGTGTGATGTGTGGGAACTGCAAGAAACTCATTTTGATCCAGAAATTGAATTAGTGCATCTCCAATTCTTGAGTCTATTTGAGAGAATGTCTAGTGCCACATAGGATTCTTGACCTTAAGTGTGAAAAATACTCCCCTTCGAAGAAAAAAAAAAAGAACTAGGTTTGGTTGAGATGTGCTATGTGAAAAAATAGACGAGATCGCCATTAGGGTCTATTTTGATACATGACATTAGACTTATTATTTTCATAAAGCTTCTCACAGATGTGGTTACATCTCATTATCGAACTAACTTTTAAAATATTGTATTTAAGTCAGTATGGTTTATTTTTGCTTTGGTTTGTTTTCTCTGTTCAACACTTGAGTTTATTACTGTATCAACTAAGGAAAAAATAAATAAAGAAAAAAGATGGTAGAATAATGTAGCACTATAGCACTGTAGATGCTTTTACCCCAGCCATGATTTTCTATCGGTTAGTTGGACATCCCCCTTTTTATTTTCCATTTTTTGCTTTGCATGGCGGTTTTTTTTTTTACCGTGGAATTCGAAACATTTGTTTCCCCATCTTCATTGAATTTTTACATGAATTAGTTGACTTTATCTGAGTATTAAGAAAAAGAAAGAAAAAGAAATTCTTCTTGGAGTAACACTTATCGGTGATTTTTGCTAGAATCAGCATGTATCTTCACAAATCACATTCTCATAAATAGTCTGAAACTTAATGAGGATATCTTTAGGAAAATGAGAAAGGGATGCTCTAACTTTTTTTTCTCTATTATGAATTATGTATCATTGTTGACCAATTTTTCACTAGCTTTTGTAAATTGCAAGGATACAAAACCGGAAGAGATATAGAAAATGAACTATGCCCTGATTTTCCTGTTTGGACAAAATAAGTGGCAGATAGTGTATGGTGAATATTATAAAAAAGAAAAATGAATTTTTCTACACATCAATATTGCGCAATTATGGTATGATCACATTTCCTATCATCTGATATAAGTTACTTGAGTTGGTGGGAAATTGTTTACAACTAAGCTTTTCACACACACACACACAAACACACAGAAGTAGTTGTACTTGTTATCATCCTCTTACAAATCCTTCCATCTTTTGTGGGTTGCAGTGACGTTAGCGACTCGGAGGAGGATGATTCAGATTCTTGCATCTGCAGAATAATGTAGACCAGAACAAAAAGAATATTGAGGCAAAACCAATTGAAATATACAGGTACTGAACGAAAATGTTGCTGCATCAGACAGTTTCAAAATTATCAAAATGGAGGTATATCATGTGAATTTCTTTATATTTTTATCAGCTAGGTTATGAAGATGACCATAGTCTGTTGTTTTGATACATATAAAATAGAATGATCACTTTTAATAGTTCGTACAGTACAGCACTTCTGTAAAACATGCATAGTAAACGGATGTGCCCTTCAAATACATGTATGTGCATTTTCCTTGTGATCCCTGTGCCAAATATTGATGTTCTTAAATTGATAAAAACAAAATGTGTATGATGGCAATTTCAGAAATTGCAAGTGTGTTTGGGCACTCTAGAAAGATAAATGTAAGTAAGTGAATATGAAATACCCGACACTTACTATAATAATGCTGCTCGGTTTCATACCCATTTAAAATATTAACCATTCCCACATTTTTTATTTCACATTTTTAGGCTCTTGGACATACTAATGGACCACTTTAACTTTATTTTACCTCATTTCTCAATCATCTGCTGCTGCAATTGTTTTTCTATTTATTATTGGTGTGTTTGTGTTTTGATTTTATGAGCTGAGATTCTTCTATCATTGTTTCGAAGAATATTAAAGTTTCACATTCTCCCGATGGCAATCCAACTATAGATTACATATAGTTAGTACAATAATATAATATTCAATTATGAGAAATTTTCCATACTTTCTGTCCTAATTCCCTCTCTTGCCAACCTTTTCTCCCACAATTGACCAAAATTATCATGTTTTTCACTACGCCCATACTGTCAGCAACTTGGTCCGCATTTTCAAACAGATGTTCGATTTTACCAGGCATATGAAACAAGTCCTAGTGCTCATCTTTGCCCAGTTCTTCACTAAGACGACATTTGTCTCTCCAAACAGTCTTTATTACTGAATGGATTGAACAACTTCGATCAAAACCCAACCAAATCTTCGTTATAAAAAAAAAAAAAACCCAATCAGATCTTATGATGATTTCTGAACCAATAGATTTTATTGGGTTTTCAACGAAGTTGTTCAATCCTTTCAGGAATCAAGATCTGATTGGGTTTTGAACGAAGTTGTTCAATCCTTTCAGGAATCAAGGCTGTTTCGAGAGAAATGCCTAAAAACATCGAATATCTGTTTGACTATGCCAACTAATGCCGACTAAGTTGCTGAGAGTACGAGTATAGTGAAAAACATGATAAATTTGGTCAGGGGAGAAAAGATTGGGAGTGGAAATTTCCCACAATTGAATATTATATTATTGTACTAACTATTATTTAATCTCCTTTTGATTGTCAACAAGAATGATAGAAGAGAATCTCAGCTCATAAAATCAAAACACAAACACACCAATAATAAATAGAAAAACAGTTGCAACAGCAGATATTGAGAAATGAGGTAAAAGAAAGTTTTTACGAAGACAGAGAGTGGTCAGATTATTATTATTATTGAGTTTATCTATTTTGTCATATTGGTTTAGCAAACTATATGTTGTGAAAGGCTGAATTGGTGCTTTTAATAATATTTATAATGAGAATATTAATGAAAGTTTGTCAAGTGTATTGTAATTTTGTAAGTAATCCAAGTAGTAATCATGCCACCTGTATTGTTCACAACCTAAAACTCGAAACTTTTTATAAATGTAATCAGTATCAAAGCTAAGAGTATTGAGCAAACAATCATTACCCACTAAAGATCACTGAAAGGGATTAAAAAGAGAAAAAAGGGAAAAGACAATCATATGTCTTTCAAAATCAATTAAAATACACTCTCCCATCTCAGAAAATCAATTTAAATCAGTGTTTTAAAAGTAGTTAGGCACTGGTCCGCCTAGGCGGGACCTAGAAATCAATATTNTTTAATAGGGTTTAAATTGCTCCTCCATATAGTGTGTTCGTTGCTAGTTTCTCAATAAGCACAAGGTATGGCTTTGTATGGATCACCAAATGCTGCCACATTTCCAGGTCGACTGAATACAATCTAATACCACAAAAATAGTTGTGAAACAAAATCAGAATGTAAAAGACTAACTGTGCAAGAAAATGTAGTCAATTTTTCAGAGAAGATAAAGTAGCAGGGCATGCCTGATAGTTTCCAAGAGTACAAGTTTTGAAGCCAGCGGCACAATAGTCGAAATAGTACTCCCATGTCCTTATGAACTTCTCATCGAACCCAAGCTCCAGGATTTCTCTGAAGTGCAAACATTTCGATTTTCGTTTAAATAATAATAATAATAATAATAATAAAAATTACTGCTTTTATTATTCTTACCTTTGCTTTGCGAGGAAGTTTTCCCGCCAACATCTGAGTGTTTGGTAATAATGGATTCCTATGTCTTCAAGGTGCTCCACACTGCATTTTGCATAAACATATGTATTGTAATTAATTAATTTTCAAACTATTTTATTGCCATAACTTCTAACAAAATTAGATAAAAATCCAGTTATAGTTACCATAGTCTTGATGCTGCAGCCATGGCTGATGTTACTCGGCTAAGTGAAGGTAAACATCCACCTGGGAATATATATTCTTTAATGAAGTCCGAACTGCGTCTGTACTCCTCATACCTCTCATCTGGTATCGATATAAACTGCACCAAAATAAATAAATAAATAAAAATAATAAGAAAATTTCCAAATGGGAGCATTTATGCTGACCTGAAGAACAAGGAGGCCGTCTTCTGCTAACACAGACTCGCAGCACCTAAAGAAGTCTTCCATATATTCATGACCTACAGCTTCTAACATCTCACTACACTTGACAAAAAATCAAGAAAATGAGAAATAAAAATAAATTTAAGTTTCAATGATGTCAATACATTGATGTACGTCAATTTTGAACATCTAATTAATACTTAAAGTAAAAAAAAAACGCTGACCAAGATATTATCCGGTCATATTTCTCAATTTTGGGCAGCTGGCGATAGTCACAAAGATGGAACTTTATATGGTCCTACGACGAAAATCAAATGTTAAATCTCATTATAACATTAATTAATACTCGTAACAACAGTAATAATCTGTAATTCAAATAGACTGATTATATATATATATATATATATACCTGTAGACCAACTTCCTTTACTTTAATTTCAGCATATTTTAGCTGCTCTTCTGATAAAGTGATGCCAGTATATTTGCATCCAGTTCGCTTAACAACTTCAATTGCTAAAGTACCCCAACCACAACCTATCTCCAAAACGTGATCTTTTTTACTCACTCTTGCCTATAGTTTCAAGATAATTTTAGNACAGATGAGTAAAATTGTACGAATAAGAATTACCTTGAAGATCGCGCAAGAGTATGTCATTGTATTATCCAAAAACAGCGAAAACAATTCATTGCTCTGAGGATTAACAGATGAAAACAATTTTCTTTCAGCTTACCAACTGACAGGAGATAACGCTTTCCTTTACAAGTAAGATGCATATAAACGTGAAAGATATTTGAAACAACATACTCTTTAACATTCTTAAAGATTTGAAGAACTTACTAGATCATAATGCCTTGAAATGTTACGTCGTGCCTGAGTTAGTGTGTTTTTTCTCGACAAATGTTGAAAGAAGTACTTTGCGGATGCTAATGCAGAAGTGAAAAGCAATGGTGTCCACCATCCTCTGCGCGTACAAATGTGTGTATATATATAAATATCATATATTATTATTATTAATAAGTTTCTAGTTTGTTAGAAAACATATGACAGTAATATAGCATATAATTAATTTTCTAAGGTTGTGTCATGTGTGTTTACCTTTTGTTGTTTAAGTTTGAGGTAGAAATGCTTAAATCTCTGTTGCCAATAAATATCTGCAGAAATAGAAATAAAAAAGTTCCTAATGCATTTATGAGCATGAACATGAAAAAAAAAAAAAAAAATCTTTTCTTGAAAGCATTTCCTTTTCTCACCATGAAGAGGTTGAGAAGACCTTCATTCTTGTCAACAAAAGAGAAATCCCCATTAATATAAGCATCAGCCAGACCTAAATCTGCTTCAGTTGCTACCTATGACAATTATGCATATACATATATATGAAATATGAAGAAAAAAGATGTAATGTTGTATCCTGATATTTTTAATGTAAAAATCAATCAATAGTCTAAGGGCATATGAGTGTCACCTTCCAATAAAACTGTGGAGAATGAATTCTCAAGTAGACTTTCAAAGGGCTCGCTCTTCTCGTTCCTTCAAATACATACATTGTACCTCCGCTTTCTAGCAAACTGCGGCAATTCAAGTTCTATCATCATTATTTCCAAAATACAAATTACGGAAAATGGATTGAAACAATTAGAAACCGCATAAAATGACTTCGTAAAGTGAAGAAACGGAAAGACACGAAGACGAGTTATTTATTTACTAATTTATTAATTTATGTCTTCAAAACAAATTTTCAAACCCAAAAATTTACAGACAGAAAGAAATAATGAGAATAATAGTGTATGAGAAAAAAAAAAAAACTCACGTTATGGAGCCGGTTTCTATAAAACGCTCGAGAAACCTAGTGACAAGTGTACGTGCCCCTGTCTCGAGCCACGAAGGTACCATGTGCTTTGGGTTGTACATTAGTGTACAACTTTTTCGAAGCACGCTATTAGCAACGAGCATGCCTGCCTGTAAAGATGAAACATTAATAGAAAAACAGGGGAACCATCTTTTATTTTATTTTTTATTTTTTATATATTTTTTAGTTAATAGCACTCATAAAAGTACCTTTAGGCCATCTTCATGAAAGCCATAGCCTTGATATGCTCCACAGAACCATATTTTCCTCTTTCCTTGGATCATATTTAGCTGTTGTGAAGCTTTAGTTGCGGCCACTGATGGAATCGGGTGGCCGGTCGACCACTTGAGCAAAGAGTGTTCGGGTTTCGAAGGCGGATTAAGTGTCACTAGAAAAGGAAGCCCTTTCTCGCTTATGTTCTGCACGTTCCAAACAAAAGGTTAATTTTATAAATTATAAATGCAATTGGAAAGAAAATGAGATTATATTGAACCTGGAGAATGTTGAGCCAATAAGTGACGCAAACTTTGCTATTAATAGTCCCGAGAAAATTCCATGCGCTCCATGCAGCCGTGTTTTTGGGCATGAATTTTTTGTCACGGTGGAGGTAAATATCACTGTCATATGAGAGACAGTTCATCATATTTTGTGCAATTATTCGAAAACTCGGGGGTATAATACAAAATAGAGAGACGAGTACCTATAGGCGTATTGAAATGCTCCAAGTATACGTAATTCGTCAAATGTTGCCTGCTTTCCTAACATCTTTAAAGCGTCAGGGGCATGAGCAGCAATAATGCACTCGTTATATTTGTCTTCTGAGCCATCCTTGCAACTTACAGTACAACCTAAGATAATCCCTTCTTCTAGTAAATAAACCTTAAAAATGTGCCACAGTTCTTATGAACCATGCAGCAATATTTTAAAAATCAACACATGACTAAATTACAATTTGAAAACATACATGTTCATAG